TATCTGAGCATTTTCCTGATGGCAGTTTGGCAAAAGTACGACTGGCTCAAAAAGTTGACGAGTTTATGGAACGCGAAGCGACGGCTTGATGTCGAGTTCGATTAATTTTCCGGTCATTATTTTTTACGGCTTCTTATCGGCGTCTCGCGTTGGCCCAGCGCCCTTTTTAGCTGTGCCGGCAGTCATGAGCTGCCATCGTGAATTTGACTTAAACCCAGGATGAGAGGTGCAGTTCTTTTTATTTTTTCTTTTCTTCATCTCCTTCTGCCTCTTCTGCAAGTACCCCAGCTTCATCTTCAGCTTCTCCCCACCATCGATTATCGCAGTAACTCTCTCTATTTTACATAAACGTCTTCTTGAATTGCAGTAGCTCCTAAAGATGTCCTGAAGGATAAGCCTGAAAATCCTATAACAAGTTATAACTCCGCTTGAATTCTCAACGAGAAATTTTAAATGAATATATATATTTGCGATAAATGGTATAAAAATGCCCCCGATATACCCATCATCAAGGTAATTAAATGAGAAATTAATGCTTACTAGATGGTAATTGAAATGATAAAATTGCTGGTATATAATATTAAGCTCCACCTTTGCACAAGTACGCAAACAGTCGTGGATATAATTATCTCTCAGTATATTGATTGAGAATTTAAATAACCGGATCATCCAGGCGAAGTTCTGGAGGCTCTGAGAGCGGTAGCACGCGAACATGGTGGACGTATGAACGGCTAAAGCGTGGAATGGAAGAAGCGGAATGGACATGAAGGCAATATACACAGAAGCAAGATGTGCGTGAGGATCGTCCAGTCGTCATGAACACGTTCTCTTTGGTGTATTTCATGAGGCATACGACTCGTTGCTGCAGAAGAGGGAAAGAGAAAGAGTGCAAAAGAGAATTCTCGAAGGGCAGGGAGGAGTCTCTGGGGTCTTGCTGGGCGGAGCTTCCAACCACAAAACACCCGCTGACTTCGCGAGCCTTCTGGTTATTTGGCTACTATTAATTATTTATGCGTACATTGCACTGACGACGTATTCATGGATACTCCCGACGAGCCATTCATCCAATGGACCAAATATCCAACAACTCGAGCCATTTTTGGTCACATCTCTCAACCCTTGATTCACTTAGCTGTGATATGGAAGAAAGAGAACACAATAAAAATGTGGATAACTATTGATGCAGTTTTATGCAACGAAAGAACCAATCGCATCTCGAGAGGCAATCGATTCCAGTGGATTATTATGATTGGATTCCTCAGAAGATCAGCCAGGCACGCCTTCGTCTACAAGAAAATGACGCGGAGAGAAAGGTCGGGATCATGGATAGTCACGATTGAAATAAAATGATTATGACGCATAATTGAAAGTATTTTATTCATTTCGGAAATTATATTGATGAAAAGGATCGATATGAAAGACTTAGGAGTATTTATTACTAGGCTGGAAGTGAAAAAAGACGTTCAAGATCTGGCAGACAGGCGAAATAAAGGAATAGCGAAGAGATAGTCTGGGCACTTTATATTCGATATAAAAATGAAAAAAGGATATAATACATAATATTCTTTAGGTCCAGCACGCATTTTTGCTTTTGGTGGAGCATCTCAAGTCGGGCCACCGTGTGATTACCCGCAGGATGGAGTGAGTTTGGGTATATATATGAGTAATTTGTATTCAGCCCGATCATCCGTATCGAAATTCGAATCTACTTAGTTCTGAGAAGCAGAGAGAACCCTGATGTACCTCTCTACGGTGCCTGGCATCCCCCGTTCCACCTATTTCCGATCGACCGTCGTCTCCTCTCCTCTTTTATCTTTCTCTTCGCATCCCTCTTCCTTCCCTCTTTCGCCGCCGCCTACTCCTCACCCCTCTCTATAAGCTCGATATAATATTATTCCCGGTTTAGTTTAATGGTCCTGGGCGATTATTACGATGGCCAAACTCAGCTCTCTCTTCCTCCCCTTCTTTTTCCTTTCCTCTTATTCTCTCCCTGTTTGATGCCTTTAGGTACACTCTTAGCTACCTGCTCATACACACAAATATTATATCAGGTGTATTCGTACATCACTATACAATTTAATGCGCCAATATATGCTCGCGAATAAAAAGCCTCAAAACGCCATTGTGATTAGTCCAGGGAGCAGCAAACGGGTGGTCCAAATTACTCCGGCGAGATCCTACCCTTTCTTGCCCGTCTACAGGAAGACATCACAAAACATTGATAACCAGTCAATATTTTATGAGAAAAAAAATAATTAACTCCAAAATTCTAAATTACTTTGCCCACCACCACCACCATCACCATTGCTACCACCTTCATCAATCGGCAATCTTGCTAAAATCGACGTGCACTTGAAAGGATTTTTATCTACGTGATGCATTACACTTGGCGTCTTTCACACGCTGACTCTCGTGAGTAATTTACTCACGAGATCAATTAAATCGACGTCGAGAGAAGAGACTGAGCCGGGGTCGAACAAGTGTGCATATGTGTCTATATATATATTATTATTATACAAGCTGGCTGCAATGTATGATAGGGATATTAATGAAGATATTTAAATGAGAGAAAAAATAATGAGAAGAACATCAGCCATATCCTTTGTCGGTCGATTAACACTCACCAATGACTTTTATAATATTCCCTTATTATTTCTTTAGCCTTCTTCTCTTACTTTTATGCTTATCGTAAATTACAATACAACAATTGAATACCATTACACCTAATAATAATTAGCCGAGTAGTTTTAATAATGTCGGAATTATAATCCTTCTTCGAGACATGATTTTAATGACGTGAAAGGGCGGTCAGAGGTGTAAATAAATTAAGGAAATGCAGCTGTGAATAATTTTGTTGAAAATGTGGAGAGCCAAAGTTTTATGATAAATTTAAAGAAGTTACTGTCACTAACATTTTCAGGGAAATGTTCATTTGAATAATTTTACATACATTGTAGAGAATATTTTAATCATTTATCAATCTTTTTAAAATGCTTTAAGAATAATTATTTTAAACAATATTATAATTAAAGAACTAAAGAGATATTTCATTTTAATTATTAAAACAAAAAATTAAATCGCAATACTATTTTTTTTAGCAACTAATTTTTATTTTAAATAAAATAAATAAATTTATTCATCATTGAATCAATTCAAGTTTTATCACAATATTTTTTGAAAACATTAATGAATAAAAAAATGCAAATAATTGTGATAAAAGTTAATGATATTTTTATTTTAATTAGACAAATTTGATTCCATAAAAATTAAAAGGCATGATCATTTTACAAAAATGAGTAACTAATTACACCTTGATGCTTAAACTCCTCAAGAAAATTCAATTACACTAAGAATCGTTGTAAATAAAGACAAGTAAAAGAGAAAGAGAGAAAACCTGATCTGTCATTAGCATCCAAGACTCACGGCACTTAATTCACTTGTTTCTTCAGTTTTCACTCAAATGAAATTAAAGTAGCGGCGAGGATGTCATTAAGAGCCTTTTACATCGTCCTTAAGACCTTAAGGCTGGTCGAAGCCATTAGGGAAGCCACGAGAAGAGACCAACCCTTGTACATATCTTTTTTTTTATATCTGATGTCTCCTCACCTCCCAACTACCATCGTCTTCGTCCTCATTTTTGTTGTCATCACCTACTAACAGCATTCTTAACCATAGACTCAACAATACTCGAGCTTATAAACTCATTGTTAGCCATCTACTTTGCTCTTTAAGTTCGACTAACGACATTGTCTTTAGTATCTGCGTTTTTCCCGCTTGTTAACGAAATAATCAGGTCTTTAGATTTTTCATGGCCTCTATTTTTTTTTTTTTTACACTCATTACTTATTTCTAATGATGTTATTTAGTCTGGAAAATTTTCCAGGTCAAGAAGAAGCTCGTCTATTCATGTGAATCCATCGAGAAAATTAGAGATGGCTTGGCACAATAAATATCTTCATCATCTTCATCAGTTATAAACTTTTTTTTAGGCGTGTATAAATAACACGATAGAATAACAGACCGATTTTTAATTGATATTTCGTCGCTGGTCACGTCCATTATTTCTTTTCGTGTGTTCATTATATTAGGGATGTTCTTTGTGCCAAGCCGATTCGTCTCGATCTCAATCAATCGTCCAGTCACTCTTGGGTTTTACCTGTTATAAGCTTCAAGAGACTGATATAATTTATTTCTCAAGTATATCAAGCCAAGCAAATAATAAATAAAATCATGTGTGTATTGTTGCTGACCCAAGCTGTTGGTATAAAGGAAATTTATGGAAATCTTGTTGTTTTTATGATTACATATTTCTTAATGACAAATCATATCTAAAACGAAGCAGGCAACGATCACGTTAACCTACCGGGATTAGGGGTCACCTGTTTCCTCAATCACGAGAGTCAAGATACGCAGCCCGCAATTATCACGTGAGTAAATACTTGCGATTCGCGATATACCTGCTGGAGAAAAAATGAAGGAAATGGGAAGGGCATGACTTGAGATAACTGAACGATAACCTATTATGACTTGAAGCTTAGTCAAGTAAACTGCTATCAATACTGTTGAAAATAATAGGCACTTTATTGCACCATAATGTCAACTTTCTTCAACATTTTTTATTAAAAATAAATATTATCTTGTAAATAATAATACGATCTGTTAAATGATTATTTTTTAATTAATTTTATCTGGTGATAGAATTATTTAGTACACTATTTTTTATTGTCTTGGATTATATTTTATTTTACACCTTTGATAATATTGTTTATTAGTTAACAGTTAGGAATAAATAAATAATGAAATAAAGTAATACTTTTCTTTTTAAAACTTTTGCTAATAGAAGTTCCAACTTATCGTGGGTGATAACAAATGAGTTTATTATTGATAGAAAATTGCCATTCGGTTAATAATAACTTACTTTCGTAGTAGTTTTCAAGAGTGAAGGAGTTTCAATAATAAATTCAGGATAAATAAAATTTTAAAAAATCAGAATAATGAATTCATTCTTTTTAATTAGCTTTTTAATGATGAATATATTAATTGTTTGTAAGTTTTAACAAATATTATGATCTTTTTATCACTCATCAAAGCACTAAAATAAGCATGAATTTAAGAATAATCAAGTTTTAATTCAATTCATCAGATCAAGTATCAACTGATGATAGTGGTAATTGTGATATGTCATGTCCAAAAAATCAAACATGTTCAAAGTGTCCATCTACATGTGAAAAAACATGTCAAACATTTTTCGAACCTTCTTGTACTGAAGTAAGTACTGAACCAAATAATTAGGATATGATTAAGATAAATAATATTCTAATTACTGTCAATATTTATAGGAATGTAATGATAAGCCAAGTTGTCAGTGTGAAGAGGGATATGTACGCCATATAGATTCACAGAATTGCATTGAGCCACCTGATTGTGGAACTGGTGTAGCTCTCAAGAGACCTAGACCTGAAAAATAAATATAGAAACAATAAAAAAGTTTCTTAATCATTAATATTCATTCATTAGTGAATTTGATCAGTAAATGATAAATATGCGTTTGGATAAATTTTTTATTTAAAAAATAAGAATGTCAAATTTTCTGAATTGTTTCTTATTGTAAAAAGTTCATATTAACAATAAAAAAATTGCAATGACAGTAATTGGTTGATTATAAAATTTCTTCATAAATCAATAATTATTTCCTTACCCAAATCATTTTCGAAAATAATAATACTCAGTGTAATTATGAATTAAAAAGTTAAATTATTACTTTGAGAATATTTTTTTTCCATCTATACCAGTTTTCTTTATTTTCTTCTCATGCAGAAAGAAAATAAATAGGAGAATAATTACATACATTGTTCGCAATTACAATTATTGTGTTGACGATAACAGAATTCCATCGTGCAAATCAAGAGAAATTATTACCCAGAAGAATTTCATTATAAAGAGAATATACTCAAATTCATAAGAGTGCAAAATGTCTTGGTACAGAATGAAAAGAAAGAGGATGAGATAGAGGACAGCCGCAAAAAGAATACTGCAACGATGATCCAAGACAATAGCTCAGTCGAACGAGGGAAAGAAATGCACAGCAGGAGCCATCTTTTGTTTCCTACATCTTGTGGTGCTGGAGGGCAAACATTTCTTGATGCTAGTGATTTATTTGCGACATCATTAGTCATTAAGGATATTAGATAATTTGAAATCTTCAATTTTTACTCAGATCGATTAAAAAGCTTTACATTCTTCAGATTGAATTTTCAATTATATTAATTGAGTAAAGAAATTCTGAGCAAACAACTTTATTTTATGAAAAAAAAATTTAAAAAACGAAGCAATAGTTGGTTGCAATTTTTTTTTTTTTAATGTAGAAAAAGAATTTTAATTAAGTTTTCAAAGAATATTTATAATTATTATTTAATTACTTTTTTCTGAAGAAAAGAAGCCTCATTAAAATCATTCAAAGATTAAATTTAATAATTAAATTGAAAAATATTTTTGTTAACTAATTGATTTCTTCAAGAATGTTTATCATTATTTGATGTATACACAAATATATGTGAAGAGTTTGTTATCTACTGTAGGATGAAGAAAAAAAATAGTAATGGAATATTAATACATTAGAAAATCTATGATAAAATGTGAATATGATAAAAAAAAATATGAGATAGAAAAATTGACTATAGAATCTATTTCACGACTGGCCGCAGCTTGAAGTTGATGATGACTGACTTGTTGAGGCGGAAGTGATCGATTTCGCGTCTCGAATCTCAATCATTGAGGAGGAGTATCAATGCAAAAGCGTGGATACAGTGACAATAAAAATAGCCAAACATAATTCATTTGAGTGCAGAGAATAAATATAACAGTGAAGGAAAAAAAATTGTCTGAGCATAATCGGAACTCTCCACTCTCTCTCTCTACACAAGCATATGTTGAAAGGGTGGACGCGTGTGTGATATCTCGTAAGCTCTCGAGCGAGTTATGACTTGGTTACCGCCTTCGTCATGCGAGTACACAGTCTCTCTGGAAGCAAGTAAAATTATCCATGCGCGAGAAAGAACCGAATGTCAGCTTATCTTGCAGTTACTGCTTGTCGCGTCGCGACTTGTAAGTGCGAATTAATTAATCGCGTGTTAAACATGCTTAATCCTTGATAGTGTAGACGGTGGAATGGGAAGAAGAGGCGGGGTGATGCATGACTGACGACAACCTCAAGAAGGGGAGTAAAAATACAATGAGATCAAGTGTAGCACTGTTTTCCAAGTCCTCTTGAGATCTTTTAACAACTTTTCTCTGTCAAAACCCACCCCATAAAGAAGAAAAAATTCCTTATTGAATTACACTACTACACCACTTGTTCATACAGACATCTTATTATGCGGGTTCGCAGGTGTACGAAATGAATCGTCTAAAAAATTCATCTTTACTTTGGGAAGTGGTCTGGAATACGAATATTTTTTTTACCATTTTAAACTTTTATTTTTTATATTATATTTAAAAATCAACCAACTTTATTCCATTATTCCGAAATTAGTTTTTGGTATCTTTTTTTAATTAAATTAAAATTAATTTGATCCATTCAGATAAGATTTTCTGGGTATTCATAAATATTCTTTCAAGTCACATAGTGACAGTAATATTTAAAATATTGAATTTAAATATTAAAAGTATTTTAAAATGTTATTTTGATCAATTTCTCATTCTTCTAGATGATCAAAATAATTAAATAAAATATGAATTATTGACTGATTAATTGTGGTTTTTTTTATCTATTTTAAATTAAAATTTAATTAAATATAAAAAGGAAAAAAATTCCATCTCTTAAAACAATATACCAAAAAGAATCCAAACCGATTGCTGTCATAGGGGCTTCACGTAGGTGGCCTTTAAAGTTCTCCACAAAAACACGACGGTGTTTCATCATGGTAGGATCACGTAACTCATTAAAAGTAAATTAATAAAATAATAAAAAACAATATGAATATTAAATAATTATGCTCTAGTTTATATTATATTTATTTGACAAATTTTAACGGTCGTAGAGGAATGAAAATAACTTGATTATAGTCACTAATCGTTTTTAATTTACACGGATCTTTAATTTTAAGTAAAAATATATAACTAGATTCTCTTAAAAAAACGTCGCCTTAGGCATATCATTCAGGAAAGATGTTCGTGACGTATGTGAGAGCGATTTCCGATCCCTAGCATCGAATGTAACTCTCGAAATCAGGAGATAATCGTTTCGGGATCTGAAGAGAGGTCAGGGGACGACCCTGCGGGTGGAATGCATCCATTAGTTCCACTCTTGTTCAATTTCCGTGATACAAATCATTAAGTGTTTAAAAGAAACTATCAAAAGCCTTTTCATTTGTTTCTTCAATTTATTCCTTTTTTATCATTATTGTTATCATTATTTCCATCATTTTATTCTTGAAATATCCAAATGAACAAACTGTCATTTTAACTTCTCGCTTTTCATCACCACCTGCTCTCTTCAGTCTCCATCATCTCGCTTGAATATTTATCTTTATCTGGGTTGTAAGAGTAGATCCAAGAGCGATTAAATTGTTAAATACGAACGCGTGCTGTTGCGGGGAAACAAGAGTCCATCAAGAAAGTTGGCATCTATGTCAAGTAAACCGAGAATTTTTAGGAAAAAAGGACGGCGAATGAAAACCACCCTTAGAAGGGGGAGAGAAGGAAGGAATACAAAGTACGAAAGGATATAAGATGAGAGAAGCGATTCGATGCGGACAAATATAAATGGAGACAGCACACATCTTGAGTGTGTATCCTCAGGCGTAACCCAATAGTATTATACCGGTCGATTCGCTCGAATTAACTTGGTATCGGCTTACTCCCGAGCCTCACCAAAAAACATTATGCAAAAACACAAGCCGCCAGGCGGATCCGTCGATCCCAATCGTGATGTGCGATTCAATGATTATAACTATCTTTTCTTTGTCTGTCTATTCGATTTTTGAATTTTTTTTAATCGTGAATTTAAACTGCAAAATATTGAGATTTGATCGTTTTTATGATGCAGATTTATTTTACGACAATTCTTTGATGTATACATTCTGAACTTTTACTAGAATTATTGATAATTTAGTTTAAAATTATCTTGAAGATAAATTCAATCAATTTTTATCTTTATAAAATAATCTTTAATATTCGAAATAAAGAAAAAATGATAAAACCTCAAAAATATATTTTTTAGAAATTTTATTTTAAAGATCTTTCTGTAAAATCGGTGAAAATTTTATAGATAAATAAATTAATTATGTAGTGATAACATTTTTTTGTTACATTATAAGAAGAATTTCGGAGGAGAAAATTATTTTGGCACGTTCACGAAAAGATTAGTATCCACCTAATTACTATAGTCTTGTTTTTTAAGTATTTTCTAATTATACAGGACTGATACTTGTAGACTATAATAATCAGCCAGGTCTCTATCTCCTTTTGAACATTAATTTCTATCAATTAACTTAATTCCTACAATAATAAATACAAGTGGATAAATTACATCAAAAGAAACCAAAAAAAAAAAGAAAAAAAGTTTTTTAAAAATGAAAGATTTCGTTGACTACTAATTAATGGATATTAATTAGAATAAAGCTGTCAAGCCGGTAATCCTAAAATTTGATGTGCTATTCATGAAATGGTTCCTATAAAGTGGATTTAGAAACAATTGTAATGAAAAGGACTAGATGGTGATGACGTGATAGCAATCGGGAGTTAATATCCCTCGCGGAAAGGAGAACTGAACGATGCGCCAAGGGCGTTAACGCGATAATGATGACACGGACAATGACGATGTGGACGATGCAATGAGGAGAGATGAACAGCATCCAACGATGGAGGCAAACCAAAAGGGAGTGAGAGATAGCACCTACGAAATCCTAATACAATCGCTCTAGTGAACGTCGAATGAAGCTTGGAGCTTTAAGCTACATATAAGCGCAGGAGTGGTGACGCAAACCAGGTATAACCTATTGTAATCAATATTAATTACTCGAGACAATAGAATCTCATTGGACTCGATCGCTCGAGCGGTTCCTACGGGAGAGAGACTCGCATGTTTGGTCGACGTTGTAACACACCCTTTCCATCTGATGCATTCGTGTGAGAGAACTAGAGTATGGGTCCACCCAGCCATCTCTCACTCCAACGTTAGAGCATAATCTATTGTTGTTGACGTTATGCGTTGTGCACGCGAGTATTATGAGGAGAGGGGCAGAATAGAATACTGATATATCGGATGACAGAAATAACAACAGAGACATGACTTTATGCATCAAGATGCTCATGCTAATGTCATTACTTTAGTTTATTTAAGCCATTCTCATTACATTTTTTATTCATTCGAACTCATATCTTTTTTTTTCTTTCAGCAAAAAATTTACGTTTTTTGTGATTGCATTCTAAACATCATTTTACATTTTTTTCAAATATTTTTTCAGCGGAAAAAATATGAAATAAAACGTTCTAATGTTTTATAAAATTTTTTAAAATTATTGTAAAGCTGGTTTTAATATTTTT